GCAGAGAATACAAAATATCTCATAGAAAAGTGAAAGAAGCAAAGGAAATTACTGATTATTGGTATGAAAAGTAACGAAGTTGTGGAAGATCCTCGTACAACGGCGGTCCGGAATGTGTTAAATAAGCGGCACACGAAATGCATCGAGTCAACTAGCTAGAAATACCAGATTTCAAGAGTTACTCTCACTGCTTCAAATTTAAATGAAAGAGCCACAAACTTGACACTCTCAACCATTTCTCGGTGTTTTTTATTCCGTGCCGACTTGTTACCAGTTAACCGCCCCTGGAGCGAAGAAAAACATGGGAGGCCGAAGCAGGTAATATTCCGGTCAAGTGATATTTGCTGGGTTTGAACAGTATTGTTCGCTGCGGATTCGCTGGCGGCGTCAGGTGGGATGTGTCTGGCGCGGCGCGAAACCCGTTCTCCAAAAGTTGTTGAAGCGGGTAAGAGACAGCAGTTGCTGGAAAACGGTTGATACGCACGATATAATACAGTCTCGTCAATTGCTCGTTTCAACAACTGATTTCAAACGGGTTTGGCGGCGAAACCCACCTGCTCCTTCATTTGCAGCGAACAGAACAATACCTTTATCTCTTGCCATAATCCGAGTATGATACGAGATTTTTGGTGGTGTTTTTCGACTTTTGGGGTTTTTACCGGTGCTTAAGTTCACCTGCTACTTACCTGTAACCTGTTTGTTCTATTCCTATCAATGAACTCTGCAATGATTGAGCTTCGTGAGTATTGCAGGTTACTCTTCCTCATCACTTGAGCTCATCTCTGCAGCTTTACGAGAAGTTTTATGATTCGCGACACACTGGACGAAAACTCCAATGGCAACCTCGCCTTGGTCAATGTGTTTTGAAAGCCAACTTCCGAAGAGGGGTTCGTTAACAACGAGTTTTCATATTTTGAAGGGGCATGTCTGCTGCAACCAAAGATCTTGTTACTTTCAGTGCCAAAAGGAGTTGAAAGTGTCTCTGTTTCAAGCGATTGTATTATTGCTCTTCAACGATCAACCATCATGGACTGCTGCGGATATTATGATGGCTACGAAATTAGGTGGGATATACGCATCGTAACCAAAGATCTCCAAGTGATGTTAAACGTATAACTTTCAGATCAGAAGGAGTTCGTCCGCACAATGGTTTCACTTTCCGTGGCTAAAATACGCGTTCTCGTTAAAACTCCCATGAACAAGGAGGTTGGTTGAACTTCTGCATATCCTGGTTTACTAGTATGCGTTCATACTGTGCGTCAGCATTTTGAGCGCTTGGCTGAGTTTTGAGTGTTTTGCGGGTAGTTTTGAACTTTACACAGCAGTCGCTGGAAGCACTGGCGTACGCTCAAAACGCTCGATCGATATCTATACTTTCCGTGCCGCTCAGACGCCGCCATACGCTGCCGTACACTCAAAACGCAGACGCGAAGTATGAACGCAGCCTTAGCTATTGAGCTCGCTTTCTGTATCGCACCAGAAAGTTCGCGTTCATACTTCGCGAGCAAGAGGAAGCCCTAATTGGGAGATTGCGCGATTGCGAGGAGTGTGTGCGACGAAGGATTACGTGGAATTTGACTGATTCGCCCTTTCTCCTTCTCGATCTGTGCCTTACTGGAAATTACGGACTGCTCGGCTCAATACGCATGCGTTCCCTTGGACGCTTTCTACAGAATCGCAGATTTTCGCAAAGTATAAACGCGGTCTGAATGCTCACTAATCCTGTCTTTCGCAATGCTCACTAATCCTGTCTTTCGCAAGAATTCCTTTTCGTTGACTTTTCTAGTTCAACATTCGAATTATTGTCATCGTTCAGATCAAGGATGATGATGTATTCACGGTGAACACAGACATCAAGGAAATGCGTTTCAGAATTCGTATTTCTGAAGTTCAAATGAAGGAGACGGTCAGTTCAAAACGTTGCATGGTGGGGTACAGCATCGGTGGGAGGATTCAATCGGGGTTGGGGGGGGGAGTGTGGGAGTGTCGTATCTGGTCGTGATAGAAATTTCCCCTAACCGCGAAGGGAAATTTCTTTCACGTTTT